TGGATCCCCAAGACATACATAAAAGCCAACTGAAATTTTTGGTGCACACCTGTAACCACAGCAATAGGAGGCAGACACAGGTGATCCCAGATATTGCTCACTAGCCAGTCTAAAAGACTGGCCTAAAAGTCAGCCTTCATCTTCTGTCACAGGCTCTTTCTCAGAGAAAATAAGGGAAATGATTGAGAACATATATGCCTATATCAACCTGCACATGAAGCTGGCTGGGGGCTGGTATAGGACAGATTTTAAATGTTTCTTTTAATTTTTCACCTGGCTATTAGACATTGTTTTTAAGTAGCTTTCAGTGAAAATATATATGGAAAACTGAAACAAACTTGTATGTCACGGAGTTTCTCCTCACATTTATTTTGCATTTTCTTTCAAGTGGAAATATATCATAGGTTTAAATATTATCCCATCATACTTTAACAAGAATATTATCTATTTTATTTGTATTTTATGATTCTATAGCACCTCAGAAATAACATGCCAAATGCTTCTTGCTTTATGTATACAATTGTAAGAACACAGCTAAGCCTATTCGCTTTATGTAAATCATGTTTTCCTGTTGTAATGTGAAAGGAAAATGCTCCTCTTGTGTGTCATTAAATGGGAGATTTCTGTCAGCAGCTTACTCAGAAATCAAGATACTCTCCACAAAAGCCAACTTCAGTGACTTCCTGCTGTGGGATGGTGTCTCTGTATGCTGTGAATATTTGTTGCTACCATTGCTTAATTAAGAAGCTGCTTTGGCCTGTGGCAAGACAGGTTATAGCCAGGAAGGAAATCCAACCATAGAGACAGGCAGAAGAAAGGCAGAGTCAGGCAGACGCTGCGAGCAGCCACCAGGAGAAGCAAGATGTGAGAAAACAGGTAATGCCATGAAGCCATGTGGCAAAACAGCGATTAAGGGGAATGGGTTAAGTTGTAAGAGTTAGTTAGTAATGAGCCTAAGCCAGAGGCCATACAGGTTGTCGCTAATATTAACCCTCTGGGTATTTTATAAGCAGCTGCAGGACCATGGGTGGAAGAGATTCATCTGAACTGTGGGGCCTGGCAGGAATGAAGAAACTTCCAGCTACAACTTCCCATACAAACATTTTCATATTAATTTTTTTTCTTAACGTGCACACTAAAACCACAAGGTTAATTTGTCAGAATTTTTAAACATCCTTATATGGGATTACGATGAACTAATTTTAGTCATGAGGAAATGTTTAAAATATATTGTTCACTTTGTAAAATATAATTTTCAACCAAGTGAATGTGACTTTGAATGTGCAATTTAAATATTTAAGCATCAATATTGAAACTTGACTTTTAGTCAACTCTTATTTTCAAGAATAGTTGTAAGCCTCTGACTAGTGAGGATCATGAGATTTAAATAAGATGAAAAAATGGTCACATGAAATTATTGCAAACAAACACTACATAAATTTCACATTGATTTAAATTATGTTAATCGAAAGTATCTGACAATGATAGAAAATACATAAGCCTAGATGTTTATAAAATTCTTTAGGCCCTTTAGAAAGATATTTATCTTTTATAAATGTCAGTTTCTGGAGGATTCAGGATGCTTTTCTTCTGAAAAAGTATGATTTGTGACACCCCAGAAATTTCTACATGCAGCTAGCACATTGGTGTCATTCCCGGTGAATTCATTCATGCTAGGTATTCAGTGATAAATAATTAACATGGTAATTAAAACACTTTAGTATAATATTGCCTTTTCACTACAGAAATACACAGGTGTTTCTGTAAACAGGGCCTTTGCTCTGTACAGATTAGATAATGTAAAAAAATTATTACACAGTAGAAAATGAATGCTTTTGCACTTGTTAATTTATTAATACCATAGAAGATTTCCTCAAAGCACAAGGCACTCTCGTAGGGAAAAAAACAAACAAACAAAAAAAGCAAACAAACAAAAACACAAATCTTTGGAAAGAGACTAAATTTTTATGATAGAAAAATAATTTTGAGCAAACATTCATAATAAAACTCAGTAATTTAAAATCATTAGCATTGTGCCAAATGATGACTGAAGCTTTGTGAGTAGAAGACTCAATTCAATGGCTTAGTCAAATTACACACTATGAGAGTTAAAGTTAAAAAATGCAATTTAAGGAAATTGATCATAATGGCAAAGTAGATAAACAGGGGTAAAGGTTCAAACTTTCAGCTTTATTGTCTCTCTCTTAGAATCAGTAGTGCTCATAGTAAAAGCTTTCTCCTGTACCACGGAGACAGTCAACTGTCCCTTTCTTTTCTGTGTATTGATATCAGGGCTTGCTACTAGAATAATATGTTTTTTGCTTGTTTGTTTATGTTTTCTTGGTTGTTGTTCTTTTTCTGAGAGCTTCAAGCCTCTTTATTATCAAGCATACAAGAATGAGATTTTGAATTTTTAAATCTGTCCCTTAGAAGGTCATTCTATTTGAGAGACAGAACGTGGAGGAAACTTTTCAGATTAGTTTTTTTTTTTTCAGTTGAGAATAAAGCTTAAAACAGACAGTATGCATTTGGATATTGAAACAAACGTATTTTCTTTATTTAATATTGATGCATATGCAATGCAATAGTGAGGGTTGTCTATTGAAACGTAACATATAGAATGAATATGTATGTACACACACACACACACACACACACACACACACACACAAAACACACAGACATACATAAAGAATTAATAACAGATGCCTCATACCGGAGAGGCTGAGAACCCAGTTGTCACTCAGTCCATGTGCAGCGTACCTCACTAGTTCCAATTCTGATACCAAGATCAGGAGGCTTCTGAAGAGCTGTTCCTCTCAGTCAGACAGAATCCTTGAAAAGTAGGTTCTCCCATCCAAGTACTAACCAGGCCTGCCAGAACCTGGAAACAACCTAGATGCCCCTCAACTGATGAATGGATTAAGAAAATATGGTACATATACACAATGGAGTACTACTCAGCAGAGAAAAACAATGACATCATGAAATTTGCAGGAAAATGAGGGAACTAGAAAATATATCATCCTGAGTGAGGTAACCCAGACTCAGAAGGACAAAAATGGTATGTACCCACTCGTAAGTGGATACTAGATGTAAAACAAAGGATAATCAGGCAACAACCCACAACTCCAGAAAAGCTAACTAACAGGGAAGACCCAAAGAGGGATGCATGGACTGCCCTGGGAAGGGGAAATAATTGAGGTCTCCATGAGTAAACTGGGGATGAGGGGTGGACAATGGAGGGTAGGCAATAGGGGATGAGAACATAAGGGAATGGGATGATTGAGCTGGAACTGGGAGGGAGGGGTAAAACAATGAAAGAGACACCATGATAGAGGGAGCTATCATTGGGATAGAGAAAAGCCAGTGCTAGGGAAGTTGTCAGGAATCCTCAAGGATGACCCCAAGCTGGACTACTAGCAATAGGGGAGAGGGTGCCTGAACTGAACTGGCTTGCCCCAGAGAACAGACTGGTGAATACCTTAACTGTCATCACAGAACTTTTCTCCAATGACTGATGGAAGCAGATGCACAGATCCACAACCAATCACTAGACAGAGCTCCAGGGGTCCAGTCAAAGACAAACAGGGATTCGACAAGTAAGTGCATCAGGATCATGATGGGGAAACATGCAAGGACGACCAAGTCAAACTAGAGGGAACTCATGAAAGTTCCAACTCCAGTGGAGCCTACATGGGACTGGACTAGTCCCTTTGCATGGAGATAGTTGTGTAGCTTGATCTGCTTGGGGGGCCCCCTGGCGGTAGAATCAAAATCCATTCCTGGTGCATGAAGGGCCTTTGTGGAGCCCACTACCTATGATGGGGCATCTCTTGCAGCCTTGAGGCAGGGGGAAGGTTTTGGACTTGCCTCTACTGAATGTGCCTCCCCACGGAAGGCCTTGCCTTCTTGTGGGTGGAAGAGGAGGGTGGGTTGGGAGGGAGAGGCTGGGAGGGGAGGGCTGGAGGAGGGAAGAAGGGGATCTTTGATTGGTATGTAAAATGAATGAAAAAAATTAAAAAGAAAAGAAAAGCAGGTTCTCCCACCTGTGGAGAAGCAGCATCAGCAGCTGTGGGGTAAATTAGAAGGGGCTGAAGGGAAACCAAGCAAGCAAAAGACAAATAATCTTCCTGCAGACAAGTTCTTTCTTTTGTGAAAACTGTTACCAGTAGGTGCTGCCCACAATTGGGGTGGGACTTCCCATATCAATTAAGGCAATCAGGGCAATTTTCAATGTGGCTCTATAGATGATTAATAATGATTCAAGATTTATATGGGTAAAAAAATGCGTCATATGAAATATCTACCCTGAGGTAGAAATAATGATTACCATTCACTTCTTTTCTTTTTCTGGATAATTTTATAGTATTTAAATATTACATTTTGAAGTTTCAATTAATGGACTGTAAAATACATTTATTTGTTCATACATTTCTTTGGGTACACATAGAGTTAAACTTGAGAAAATATGCGATTTTAGTTTTACTAAGAAAAAAAAATCACAAGCTATGAACCAGAGGGAAAATTGGCAAACAACTACTCACTAAAGTTTCTGGACTAGGGCAAGATAAAAATCAATGTATTTCAAGATATACATTACAAATTATTCTTATATTGTTCAAATTTATCTATTGAAAAGAACAAGATAGATGGTGTCCTCAGTTCTGTTTTTAAAAAATTGCTATCATATTGATATCTAAAAGCTTGCATCAACAACAAAAAGAAATTAATCTTATATTCTTGTATAGAAACAGAAGCACTACAATATTAAATAGTAATCTTTAACAGTTTCTAAACATAGTGATACAAAGTTTCAGCAAGGTGATTACTAAGAATGGAAAGAATGTTTTAATTAAATATCATTTATTCACTAACAGAGAAAAAGAGTCCATCAGTTTATCAATGAATAATGAATGGATTTTTTTGATAAATTTCACAGGTAAGTTGAAACATTTATATATATGTATAATTTACTTGCTTATTTATTTATTTTTAATGAAGAGGATGAATGCATTACCCCACCACCACTATTAATGAATTTGAATTTTCTACACTTAGGGAAATTGGAGGGGTCAGCACAACCAGAATGCAAATGGATAAGCCCCATCCTGAATAACACCTTTGTGATCTTGCTATCTCACCTTGAAGGTATTTATGAAACTCTTACTGGAGGAATTGAGGACTCAAGGAAATTGAAGAATATTGCAGTTTTTTTTCTTTAATCTAATAAAGTCAGAGAGCCAGTTACAACGATATGAAACTTAGACTTGAAACACTATAGGCATTTTCCACTAACATCTTAAGAGAAAACCAAAGTTTGCACATGAAGGTCTAATCTTGAAGCATAGACACTGATGTCAAAAATTGGAGCTAAACTGCTGTGGAATATTAATTTAAGGTGTGTTACTTTTCTTTATATTGCAATTGTTTAACTCTGTGAAGCTGTGTTACTTTGCCTGTCTATAACACCCAATGGTCTAATAGAGAACTGAACAGCCAATGGCAAGGCAGGAGAAATGAGAGGTGGAGCTAGCAGGCAGAGAGAATATATGAAAAGAGAAATCTGGGAAAGGAGAAACCAAGGAACAAGAGAGGAAGGAGGATATCAGGGGCCAGCCACCCAGCTACACAGCCAGCCAAGGAGTAAGAGTAAGGTTTATAGAAGTAAGAGAACAGGGAAAGTCCAGAGGCAAAGGGTAGATGGGAAAAGTTAAGATAAGAAATGCTGGCAAGAAACAAGCCAAGCTAAGGCCAGGCATTCAGAATTAAGAATAAGTATCCATGTGTGACTTATTTGGGAGCTGGGTGGTGGGTCCCCCAAAAGAGCAAAAACAAACAACACTAAACATTTCACTATTAAACAAATTACTGATTAAATGAATTGCTATTCCCTTTTATCCAGTTAAAAGAGAATGTTTAAAAATAAGCACTTACAGCTATCTCATGCAGTGGCCCTTATCTGGAGGTGGTGAGAATGGAGGGTGGGCTGGGGGGAAGGGGAGGGGGACAGGAAGGGGGAGAACAAGGGAATCTGTGACTGTTATGTAGAACTGAATAGTATTGTAAAATAAAATAAAAAATAAGCACTTACTCGAAAAACCAAAAAAATAAAAATAAAAAAAAATAATAAGCACTTAACATTAACATAATCAATCACAATTAGAAATGAAGAATTAATAAAATACTTATATTTCTCCCAATCATTTAACAACATAATTGTCAACTTTTCAGCCGACTTGTTCATATTTGTCTCCTGATCCTGGGATCTGAGGAACTGAATGATTGGGGCAAACTACAGTATAATGTTGTAGACAACCTTACTTCAGTTTTACTTTGCTTTTACACAGGAATGTAACAACAAGAATAACAACAACAAAAGCAGTGATCCAAGGAGGGTTGTTTGAGTTCTGGAAAACATCATTGGAAAATCATGTAAATAAATACAAATAAGCATATACTAAGTATTAACAGAGCTGCCCTTTCCCAGAACTTTCTTAGGGCAGACCAATTTAAACACAGTTGCCTGGCACATACTATAGATTAAATCTGGGAAAACAAAACAGAAGGTCATATCCATATTCAGGGTACACTGACCAGATTAGGTTCTATAGCTATGATATGATACCCAGCACGAATAAATATGTCTTATAAACTGAATTTAAATATTTATAACAGGAGACACAGAATCACATCCAACAACAATCCAGAGAATGAAATGCACCTGAGGTCAAAGGCCCTCTGTCTTTTTATTTTTTACATGAAGCCTCTCTCACAGTTCCCCAAGACATTGTTCAGCATGCATCATTCTTTCAACCATGTTCTGGCCATAATGAATCAGATGTATAAATGCAGAAAGAATAAAAAAAAATACATTTCTCCCAGTGCCAATGATTATCAAGTGACTATACCATAGGATGGTACAGCATGCTACTCTAGTGTTTGATGGGTATATTGAGTAGTGTTGTCAGGTTGGAAGATGCAGATTCACCTGAGAGAAGGGACTCTTAGCTTCTCTGTGGGGGATTATCTTGATTATGTTAACTGAAGTGGCAAGACCCACTCAGGGTGAGTGGTGCCTTTTCCTATATGTGACCTTGGACAGTGTGAATGGCGAAAGAAAACCAGGCTACATGTATTTGTCCTACTTTGGTCACTGATTCTGGATGACAATTTACTGACTGCTTGAAACACTTGTTGCCTTGACTTTCCCAAATAATTTTATTATGTGAACAATAAAGGTAAAGTAAATCTTTTCTCTCTCATGCAGATTTTGGCCATAGTATTTTCTTATAACAAGAAGAAAAGAATCTCAAGCAAGGGACTAATGTGAAAGTGGAGTATTGGTTGGATACGCCTTATATGCCATTTGATGATCTTGTTAATGGGTGAAACATGCAATTAAACATTAAAGACATCGAATCTATATTTGAGAATATAGTATTTGACTTTAAAATTCCATATGTTGTCCACGTAACTTTTTAGAGAAGTTACTGACAGAACTCAAGCCATACATCAAACAAAGGAAAGACAGTAGAAACCAGTTCTCAATGAAATGGCAAAACCTTGGCTATGCTGCATGAAAAGGCAGGTGGTCTTTGACAAAATGGCCTCAGGTGAGCAACTTTCAGTGTACTGAATGATAGTCTTTATCTGCTGGCTATTTATTCAACATTTTTTTTTCTCCACATCAGAATCTCATTATTGTGGCTTCCTCTGAGCACCAGTCTTGATCATTGGTATATGAGATATAATATGCTATCAACCTTCTAGAAGCTTTAACTCATGGCAATTGTCATGAAATTGAAATGTCACTCTAATTGATGAACTTGATTTTATTCTACTTATGTCTGAATAAGAATTCACTGTGTATCTATTCACTATTGTCATTATTCATTCATCTTCTGATGGGTGCCTAGGCTAATATTACCCTTTGGAACTTTTGAATATTCCTGAAATAAGTATGTGTATGCAGGTTTCTCTTACACATACTTTTTAATCTCTTGGTTATAGTTCTAGGCTTGGTATAGTAAGATCATATTTTTTTATTTGTTATTTATTTATTAAAGGTTAATTCTATTGTTTTCCTATGTAAGTGTACTAATTTTCATTTTCAAAGCAAAACATAAAGGTTTCTTTAATCATATCTTTACCTGAAAAAATTTTGGTTCAGTTTTTCATAGTGTCTGATTAGACTAGGGTGACATTGAATGTTTTTAAGGTTTTTTTAAACATTTATTTTAATAATGTGTATATGTGTGTTTATGTGGGGGTATGTTGAAGCATGATCCTAATTAGTCTTAACCATAAAAATCCAGAGTCAGATATTGAGGGTGAAAGCTGAACCGACAAGCAGAGCATCCAACCCCCAGAAACTTCTTTTCTCTACAAATCCTCAGACTGAATGAGGGAGGCGATCCTGTCTCCACCCACCTTATAACCCAGTCTCTACCTCCCTAGTGCTGTGATTAAAGGCCTGAGCCTCCCATGTGCTGGGATCAAAGGCTTGCATCTCCACCATCTGTCTCTGTTTCTCTTTTAGACTGGATTAATCTCATGTATCTCAGGGTGGCCTTGAACTCCTAATTTTCCAGCTTCTTCCTCCTGAGTGCTGGGATTGAAGGTGTGAGCCACCACTGCCAGGCCTCTATGATTAATTAGTGGCTAGCTATGCCCTTTGATCTCCAGGCAAGTTTTGTCAGAACACAAAAAAAAAAATATCACACAACATGATATACATGTGAATTTGGATGTCCTTGGAGTCTTGAAAAGGGTATTGGATGCCCTTGATGTGGAGCTATGAGCAGTTGTCCACAAGCCTGAAAATGGATATTGAGAACTGAACTCAGTTCTTCTTGAAGAATAGCAAGTGCTTTTATCCACCTCCTATTCTCTCTCCTATTTCTCCTATTTAGCTCTCTGTCTCTGTCTCTCTCTCTTTTTCTTTCCCAATCCAACTCTCTTTCCCTTCTCCTTTTAAGGATGTATTTACATGTTGTTGCTATTGTTGTTGTTGGTGGTGGTGTGTGTCTGTGTCAGTGTCCGTGTATTCACACACACTTGCATGTTAGCCTTTACCTACTTAGTCATCTTGCCAGCCTATGATGTGTAGCCAGAAGTTTCTTCAGTCTAGCCCAGCCCCAGGGTCTGGATGAATCTCTTCCACTTGTTGTCCCATGGCTGCTTATAAAATAATCACTCAGAGCTTTGATATTAATTACAAACTGTATGGCCTATGGTTCAAGCTTCTTGCTAGCTATCTCTGATACTTCACCTCATTTCTATTAATCTACTTATTGCTACATGTTCTGTTGCTTTACCTGTGTCCCATTACATGCTTCTCAGTAGGCCGGCATCTCCCCACACTCTGCCCTTCTCTCTGTATCTCTTCTTGGATTTCCCACCTGGGGTGATATTGTGTGCCCCAATGTATTGTGCACCCTAATAAACTTATCTGGGGTCCGAAAACAAAACAGCCACTAGATAGACATAAAGGCCAGAAGATGGTGACAAACACACCTTTAATCCTAGCATTCCAGAGGCAGAGATCCATCTGGATTTCTGTGAATTCAAAGCCACACTGAAAATAGCCAGATGAGGTGACACATGCCTTTAATCCCAGGAAGTGATGGCAGGAAGCAGAAAGGTATATAAGGCATGAGGACCAGGAATTAGAGGTCTTTTTAAGCTTTTAGCTTTTAGCCCCAGTTCAGCTGAGATCCATTTGGGTGAGGACACAGAGGCTTCCAGTTTGAGGAAACAAGATCAGCTGAGGAATTGGCAAGGCAAGGTTAGCTGTGGCTTGTTCTGTTTCTCTGATCTTTTAGCATTCACCCTAGTATCTGGCACCTGGATTTGTTTTTTTATTAGAAAGATCTTTTAAGATTCCTGTTACACCGACCTTGCTGTAGGCCAAAGCCGCTTTATTTATTAGCCAATGGGAATAACACATATATTCATAGCTTACAGAAGGACATCCCACAGCAATGGTCTGCATTTCTTGATGTAAAACAATTTTCAACATTTTGTCATAGGTTTGGGGACATTTCTATTTCTTCTCTTGAGAAGTGTCTGATTATGTCTTATTTATTAAGAGGATTATTCATTTTTATTAACTTTGGTGATCTCATATTTTGGAGGTTAGTCTGTTTTCAGATGA